GTCCCACATAGACCTTAAATTGATAGTTGCTATGTTGAATTTCTTTCTTATAACAAACGCAGTAAAATAAATACAATTTTAGTTATAATGTAAAATGGTATTTCATTGGATGTTTTAGAGTGAGAGTATAGTGGACATTTAATTTTTTATTGTTTCTTCTCAATGTGAAGATAACACATGTAAATGTTCTAGAGAAATATAGTAGCTCCTTTCTGTTCACCCTTTGAAGTAAAAAGGGTGCATTGTTGCACTACTGACATTAAAACAAAGAGAGAGTGAGAGTACAGATAATTTAAAGAAGAATAAGTTTGTCACCCTTAAGCACTTCATTGTCAGAATGTCCATGGTAGATTCAATCCAATGAAACATAATGAACAAAGCACCATTCGTTTACTTTCATGAATACATTACAGAAAAATATTTTCTATAGTAGTTCACCGAGAAAGTCCATTTAAAAGTTTTCTAATTTTAAACTCTAAATATGTACTTTCTTAGGAGTGCCATTGTGCTATTTCCACGAAAATGAAATAAGTCTGATCCAGTATGAAAAATAAACATTTTGTAAAAGAGGTCATAGAATCCCATTAAATTCCACTTTTTTGTGCTATTTCCTTCATCTTTAGCTACCATTCTAAGTGTTGTAGATGTTTATACCTGTCTCTTGAGTAGTATAGAGTAGTTTAGTTTAGCAGAAAGATATAGAATCAGATCATTTTAATTCACTGTGTTATATTCAATGTTTGCCATTTGCAGCCATAATAAGAAAGTCTTGGACTAGCTTAAATATTTATGCATCTATGACAGGTTTGCAAAATAGGTGGCTTGTTATTTATTTGAGCAATTGGATAGTAATAAGTGAATGGCATAAAACATGTAAACAAACAAACAAAAAAAACATGTAAACATTCTTTATAAGCATATCACTTAAATTAATTTTAAGTGATATTTATGAGCAGAAAACATAACATGTCCAAATATTTTCTCGTAGTTTCAAGCTATAACA